CTCCTCTCCTCTCCTCCTCTCCTCCTCTCCTCCTCAGTACATCAGCCAGCTGGCGAGGGTCGGGACACCGGTGTTTTCCTCTTCTCGACTCTCTCTTCCTCTCTTCCTCTCTCTTCACTCCTCAGTAGGGGGGAAGAGGTGGAGAGAGAGTGGGAGGGAGGGAGGACATGAGGATGAGGAAGAGGTAGTAAAGGCGAAATGGGAGGAGGTGGGGGTGGGGTGGTAGAGGAATAGAGGCGTAGGTAGTTAAGGAGAAAAGGAAGGAGGTGAGGGAATCGGAGGGTGGAGTAAAAAGAGGAAAGGAGTGGGCAGGAAAAGAGGAGGGTGGAGTAATGAGAGGGGGAGGGAGGGGGGAGTAATGGTGGAGAAAATGAGGGGAGGAGGGAGGAAAGGAGGAGGGTGGAAGGGTTAGAAATGAATACAAGTAAAGTGTGTGTGTGGAGAGGGGGAGGGGAGGGGGGGAACAAGAAGTATTTGATACCTGAAATATGACCCAGGACACTAGACTTTCGAAGCAAGACACACAGCACAAGACACATAGTACGAGACAAATAATTCCAGACATGATAGAACTCAAGACACACAGCACAAGACATCATGGAACTCAAGACACACAGCACAACACACCATAAAACACCAGACACATAGCACAAGACATCAAAGGGCACACGACACAGCACAAGACACCATAGAACACAAGACACACAGCACAAGACATCAAAGAACACAAGACACACAGCACAAGACATCAAAGAACACAAGACACACAGCACAAGACATCATAGAACACAAGACACACAGCACAAGACACACAGCACAAGACATCATAAAACACAAGACACATAGCACGAGACATCAAATGGCATAAGACACATAACACCTGCCACAGAGCACACAAGACACATTACACACGGCACAGAATCCATGGCATTATGAGCACATTGTACTTGACCCACTGCACATCATATAAATATCCAACCTGCTAAAAGACATACACTGCAGCCTGTCTATAACGACCATCGATATAACGACATCCTCTGTATAGCGACATGGTGCCCAGGTCCCGATTTTCCCCTTTCATAACACATGTACATATATATCATAAGTAATGTTTTTGGTTGCCTCTCTATAACGACAACTCTCTATAACGACAACTCTCTATCACGTCATTTTTGTCTGGTCCCGAAGATGTCGTTATAGAGAGTTATAGAGAGGCTGCACTGTAGAACATACGACACCTTGTATAGGACGCAAGATAAATATTTATATCACGTGACATAGTGGGCGATGTCACGCGAGACGTGACACGCGAAATATAACACTTGACAGTAGACACGGGTCATAATACACGGTGGTTATAGTGACACACTGAACGTGTGTCATGTACTCTGTGTCGTGGTCTCACGTTAATGTCGTTTACTCTGAAGGGTTTGTTCTCCAGTTCATTCATTCGCTATTCCTCCAGATGTCCTTGAGTGAGGGAGAAGGCGAGAGCCAAAGGAGAGCCGGTGGGGAACAGGAAGATTCAACAACCTGTATTATCCTGCCTGACGGACTTTCCCCCAGGTTCTGATGGGGACTGTAAAAGCATCTGTCAGGGTATAGGCCACATACAAGCTCTTTCTATTTATCTCTGTCCTGAGCCATCCTTCCAAGCTCGTTCCAAATGAGCTTCATCTCTCTCATGTCCCTTTCCACTCACCTCCTCCATGTTTCCCATGGCATACCCCTGTCTCGTGCTCCCTGTGGGTTCCACTGCAGTGACTGTCTTGTGATGTTTCCGCTGGGCTTTCTTAAGGTGTGTCCCATCCATTGCCACTTTCTTAGTCCTATTTCTACTTCTATATAATTTTTGTCCTGTCCTTTCCCACAGCTCTTCATTTCTTATTCTATCCTGCCACTTAATTCTTAAAATACTCCTCATACATCTGTTGATGAAAGTCTGGACTTTATTCTGTACTGTCTTTGTTGTCTTCCAAGTTTCGCAGCCCTAGAGGAGCCCAGACTTGACTTTGGAGTTAAGAAGAGTCGAATCTTGGTGCGCTGTGAGACGTTGACTGTAAAAGCTGGTGAACTTTGACGTGGATCCTGAGGAGATGAGGGGAGCAACAGCTATGGACGTGTATCATCTGCGATAACCTTAACCTTAGACAAGATTTATAGACAAATGTACATGTACATCTATTCATCTGTAGCTTCTGCTTTCCAGTCCTGGGTTTTCCCCAACTCGCAATTTGACCGTCAATTATTCACCAATAACATTTCATTAAAAAAATACACGTACATAATTTAGAAAAATGAAATCAAGGGATACAACTCACAATAATCACCAGATGCATTAGGACAAAACGAATTGTCCTTCCTTAGAAGATCAAGGGAGGCTATGCAAATAAAACAACTTCATCAATAAAGTTATATGCCGAATTGTATTTAACAACCACTGCACAGGTAGTTTACGTTGAGATAATAACGTTTGGCCTAAACGATTTTTGTTTTAGTTCACACCAATAATCCTGTACCTGTCGTAGCAGGCATCCAGAAAGGCGTGGGATAAATTTAGAAGATGGCGGTGCCTTGTTTGACAAATTTGAGTTACTTTCATTGTAAAAATAGATCTCTAGTGAGTATTTGTTTAAATTTCGACCTTTTCCTCTTTTCATGAGAATATTAGACTGCCTTATAAATACTTGCTTGAGACTAAAGTCATCTCTTACAAAATACATTTTAACTTTTAGATCTATATTATATTACAATTATTCTTCTGATTTCGGTGTTTGCTGTTACTTTTAACGCTTTTTGTCCTGCCTAGGTTTTCAAGAATGTCGAGAAAAACTGGCATTTAAAAATTTCTTTCACTTTCGATTACACTGGGATGTGCAAGATAACGTCTGGGTTATTCTTGGTCCTTATGTTATCTTCCAAGGAAAAGCGTCACGTGAAGTTCTCTTCCTGGAATACTAGATCTAGATCTAGCCTTGGTCACCCTAGCCTTTTCTACATTTCAAGGTAATATCTTCAGGAACAAGTTATAGTTGACTGTGGTGGTACAGATTCTAGATCTAGAATCTAGATCTAGATGTCTAGAATAGATCATTTTTAGTTGCTCTCAACCTCAAATCAGTGTGGGAATTTGACAGACAGGTGGTGTGGAGGACAAATAAACACAGCAGAACACATCTCACTCTGCACAAGAAGTTACAAACCTGAACATTATTGTGAGACTGTTAGCTCTAGTGTAAGTATTGGACTGCCTTAACCCTTACCTTACCCTAGACTCTGAAGGCAATGACAGGACCATTATTTTATTTCACTTTTGGAAGTGGCTATCCTCACCCCGGGTGAGAATAAAAATACGATCGATCGACCTCTCACTCAGGTTGAGACTATTCAGCGTTGGCTATTCTCATCCTCTGTGAAACAAGACCTGTTTTTCATAATTTCGGAATACTGTCTACTCGGTGTGGGAGATCAAATATTTGACAAATAGACAAAAACGAAGAAAAAATGACTTTATAAATCTAGCACAAAAGTAAGCTAATCTGGTCATCTACAAAATGGCTATTTCACTTTTCGAATCGAGCTGAACTACGAGGGTCGGCATTTTGTTTTGTCCGGAAGTTCTCGCAAGATCTACTCTCTCTCTCTCTCTCTCTCTCTTTCTCTTGCTGTCTCTTTCTGAATACAATGTACTGTCTAGTATCAGTGTGGACGATCAAATTGACGAAAACAAAGATAAAAAAATGATGTTAAAACACAAAAGTAAATTAATTTGGTCGTCTACAAAGATGCTCTCTCTCTTGCCCTTTTTAAACTGTTCTCCCAGTGGAGCACAGGCCATCAACAGCATTACTCTAGCGAAGCCTGTCCTGAGCATCCTTTTCTATCTGTTTCCATGATGTCCCCGCTTTTTCAATTTCCGCTTACTGCTCACCTCCATGTCATCTTTTGTATATCCCTGGATAACATGAAGGTTGATGTCTTTCTTCTGTGAACGGAATTCAGCTGATCGGATCAATATTAGTCGCAGCTCGGTTGCGGGCTCTCTGCTTTCCATCCTATTCTCTCCTCTCCTCGGTGATGAAGGTCCTCCATCTTCCAGATCTGGCAGTCGTATTGTTTTTGCTGTTGATGTTTTTGTAGATGCTTTTTGTTTTACGGGAAAGGGCTGCTAACCTTTTGCCCAACCGACCTTAGTCGCCTTCTAGGACATGCGCGATACGGATACAGTTGTCCTATTCTTTGCTCCCCTGTCTCTTGGACAGGGCCCCGAGAACCACATGAGTGTACAAAGATGCTATGTACAGCTATTTAATTTTTCGAATCGAGCCGAACTACGTGGGTCGCCATGTGATTTTGTTTTGCCTGAAAGTTCTCGCGCTCCTCCCACCCCCCCCTCTCTATTTAATTCTCTCTCACTGCCCACAGACATAATTGCACGCTTTCAACGCAGGAGCGCTGGAAGGTTTGTTCACAGTGAACACTAGACCTACACTGGTTGGCCTATATTATAATACACTAAAGGAAGATGGTCCTGAAGTATGCGTGTGTGTGTGTGTTTGTGTGTGTGTGTGTGTGTGTGTGTGTGTGTGTGTGTGTGTGGGGAGGGGGAGGGGGGGGGGGGGGGGGGAAGAAGGATGTCATGAGATGAGGGATCATGAGGCTTTGCTCTCCCAAAAGAAGGCTTCCATACTTTTATCACAGGAGAGTCTTGCTGTTAGTCTGTAATCCTCAATGGTCTCATGAATAGTATAGATCTATGACATACCCTTTGAACTGTATATCTCAGTTGTCCCCAAGCTAACAATAAAGTATAGTTTAAAATATAGCCTCCTATTTTGATCAGTTTAACCCCAAGAAGTGTGCAAGATGGGCTCAGAGTAGGGAGACAATATTATGTCTTTCAGAAACAGGCAACACTGCTCATGGTTGTTGTTACGTGTGTGAAGGTAGGGGCAAGGAAGGGGGGGGGGGTTATATATATTATAGTGTATAGTGTGTGTTTGTGTGTGTGTATCTTGTGAGTGCTTCAAATATATAAAAATGACTTCTTGTTTCATATTTCAAACTTCTTGTTTGTCCCCAGTATTTGACCTAATGTCCCAGACAGAGTCAACTTGAGAGCGAGGATATCAACATCTCAATTGTTCTCAGTCCTGGTGAGGGAGTGGCTCAAGGAGAGAAATAGTTTTATGTTCTGACAAAATGGCATCCAGGAAGTCCAATAGCCAGTGGCCAAATCAGGCGCAAAGCCCTCGGGGATCTGCCGGGGCTCCGCGGGCTGGCCGGCAGCAGCAGCAGCAGAAGAAGGTGGGTGCTTCTTCATGATGGTAGTCTTTTAGTCGTTGCTGGTGGTCTCTCTGTCACTCCCTTGTCAGTCTTTGCTGTTGGTCTCTCTGTCACTCCCTTGTTAGTCGTTGCTGGTCCAGTGGTCTCTCTGTCACTCCCTTGTTAGTCTTTGCTGGTGGTCAATCTCTGTCACTCCCTTGTCAGTCTTTGCTGGTCCAGTGGTCTCTCTGTCACTCCCTTGTTAGTCTTTGCTGGTGGTCAATCTCTGTCACTCCCTTGTCAGTCTTTGCTGGTCCAGTGGTCTCTCTGTCACTCCCTTGTTAGTCTTTGCTG